GATAGTGTTGCTGGAGTAAACCATGAAATATGGGTAGTTTGAAATGGGTAGCTACCCAAACAGAGAATTAGAGGGTGTGTTTTAGGTAGCATTGCTGGAAATTGATAAACATCTCCTATTGTCTTCTGCTAAGCAAATCAAAACAAATGCACAATCCTGGTGCCATTGAGTGTGAAATTATAATATATTTTAGGTGCAATATCTGTACATTGGTCAATGCCTATGGGCCAACATTGGTCAATGCCTATTTCTGTTCGTTTCTTTACATATATAATAACATACGTAGGCCTATTTGAGATAACTTGGATAGATAGGAATCTAAATCCTATCTATACTCTATACCTAATAATAAAGAGACAAAATTTTCGCTTTTTTTATCCGTTTTTTTAGATGGCCTAATAATCAAGAGCCTAATCAAGCGGTCTGTGTTTGACCACGACAAGGAGCGCGGCAACGCCGGCGCGCTCCGCAGGAGGGCTTGCTGCTCCAGCCAACGAACGCAGGAGGAAGCCTGCAAACAATGAGACACAGGACGACAGCTAGCAGGAGCATTGGCCAACAGCAGAGCAAGCTAGCTACGCACAGCAGAGCAAGCTATCTTGGGGCCTGCGGTGCTCGCTCCTGTGGCCATTGGCCAACAGCAGAGCAAGCTAGCTAGCTACGCACACTCCTGGTAGCATTTATCACGCACGTCGCCTCCCGTGCGACGTGTGCAACGTGCCGAGCCGATAGACGTCCTTTTCCCTTGAAACAATCGGAGATACGGTGGATCGCCAGCACTCTACGACAAGGATGTACTGAGAAATCTAGGGGACCTGCAGTCAGAGAGACAGAGAGGGGCCGGGCACGGCAGGCAGTGTGTTGCGGTTCAGAGTTCAGACCATCGCTAGACAGCGTGCCGCGTCGTCTCGGCTTGTCACACTCAGACGTGAGAGATGACTCGCGCGTGCGTGACTGTTATATAAACTCACAGCTCCTTCACCAACTCATCAGCATTCAGCACACACCAAGTACGACTCTCCAGCTAGCCTGTGCCTTTTGGCTATTCAGATTGCTGATCTCAGGCAAAGCATAGCCCGCGTCAATGGCTTCCTCCGCCGCTTTCGCCGTTCTCCTCGTCCTCGCCGTCGCTGTGCAGTCCGCTCGTGGTACGTATATCCCTGCTGCCGCTGCCACGTTAAACGGTTAAAGCCGTTTCCTTTGTTTTGCTTATCAATGGTGGATGCATGGTGCAGGTGGTCAGCTGGCGTGCGAGGAGCTGCCGCCGGACGTGTGCGCGTTCGCGGTGTCGTCAGGCGGGAGGCGGTGCGTGCTGGAGCGCACGCCCGAGGGCGTGCACCGGTGCCAGACGTCGGCGGTGGGCGGCGCGCGGGGCCTGGCCGGGTGGGTAGAGACCGACGCCTGCGTGCGTGCCTGCGGGGTCGACCGCGCCGCGCTGGGCCTCCCCGTCCCCAGCGCCACGGCCGAGGACCGCCGCTCCTTCCGGGCGCTCTGCTCGTCGGCGTGCGGGGACGGGTGCCCCAACGTCGTCGACCTCTACGCCACCGTCGCCGCGGCTGAAGGTGCGTGCACGCGCGCGCCCGATCTGATCACTACAGAGAATCGAATATGCATGCTTGCCATCCATGTCTTGCATTGATCAATTAACGGTTTAATCTCTTCCCGGCGTTGACGATTTTCTAACGTACGGTACGAAACTGATGATGGGTGTAGGTATGTCGCTGCCGGCGCTGTGCGAGGCGCAAAAGCAGGCTGGGAACCGCCGCATGATGACTGGGATGGCTCCGCTCGGTGCTCCGGTCGCCGCTCCAGAGGCTGCGCCAGCTCCTTGTGAAGAATGATGTACTCACGATTTTTACTGCAGCGTGAACATATAGTTGATGCACAGTGTTGGGGATACTACCCGTATGCAGTGTCGTACTACATACGTAGTACGTGTATCCGAGATAGTTTGCATTGTTTTTTGTATGAAATAAAGCTCTACGAGAATTATTTGTCGTCCCATGCGCGATCTTCAATCGGTTCTGTGCACTCAGATCTTCCTAATTTCCTATTGCAAGTGTTAAACTGTTTCTTCCTCGCCAAAAAAAAAACACTAATGCTCCTGTGAGGTTCCGGGCCTGCGCAGCGATCAGGCCCAATATCAACGGGCCTGTGGCCTGTGGCCTCTCCAACCGATTCCGCTCCCCAACTCATCTGTCTGCGTTGTCCAGAATATTTTTCCACTCCCGACCATCCCCTGTCGCACCCCATCCTGCGACGCCCGCCCCAATCACGCGCTGCATCGCGCGGGGCGTCCACCGCCACGCCGCATCCACCTCGCCCGTCACGGCCATGGCGTGCACCGTGCCACTACCAACCCGGTGCCATCAAGAGGAGGTCGCCGCCGGAACCGTGGTTCCCCACCAGGTTGGCCATGGCCGCGTGGGCGAACAGTATGTTTCAAGTATTCCAGGCGTTTCAGACTTTTGTTTCAAGTGTTTTATCTGAATGTTGCAAAAGTAGATCTCTGATGTTGCAAAAGTAGATCTCTGATGTTGCAATGATAAAATACGCATGTTGCAAGCCTATATTTCAAGTGTTTTAGATGTATGTTACAAATGTTTTATCTAGATGTTTCAAAGTACATCTTGATGTTGCACATGTTGCAATGGCTATACACATGTTTTAAGAGCATGTTTCAAATGTTTCATCTATTTCAGACTTATGTTGCAAATGTTTTGTCTGGATGTTTCAAAAATAGATCGGGTGTTGCAGGCCGCCATCCGCCTACTGCTGCTGCTGCTGAGGCGCCGCCGTGGTTCGTGTGTGGATACATGAGGTCGGCAGACGCTTTGCTCCGCACATCCGCAGTCGGAGCAGGTGGGCGCGGGGTCACAATTCTACCATGTGGGCGCGGGATGGGCGTTGGCCGTGGTTTCGCCGTGCGGGCAAGGGATGGGCGCGGGGCTCGGTTCCGCCGTGTAGGCGCGAGGCGCTGTTCCATACTCTGGATGGGAACGAGACGTGGCGCGTGAGATGTGATGCAGGCATAGAGAGCCGGAGCTGCATCCAGACGCGGACTAGTGCCAGAAGCAGGGACAAAAAAGATACACTGTTTCTTCTCGCTTGAAGTCCCGCCAGAACGCATCTCCGTCGCCGTCACCGTCACGGAGAGCCCCGTGTGCGCTCGGCCCATGTTTCTCTTGGGCTTTAGCCTGTAAATATCAGGCAGTCCAAAACAGTAGTTAACGGGCTAGACTCCTGTCGGCCCGACTTGGCCCAACTGCAGCCCCGCCAGTTCGCCACCAACTCCAATTCCTCCTCGACCTCAAAACTCCCCGAAGCCCGAACACAACCCCATCTCCGTAGGGTATAAAACAAAACCGCTCCGCGCAAGGACGCCGCCTCCGTTCCGCAAACCGCAGTCCGTCCGTCCCCCGCCAATCCCTCCGCCCAAGCACGCCGCCTCCGGTTCTCCTCCGCAGCTCCGATCGTCTGCTGTAATGGCGTTTGCTGCTGGAGACGCCTCCCGATTCGTCGGTAAGCCGCAGCTCGCTCTCTTTAGTTCGTTCCAATCCGTCCTGTCTTTTCCTCGCGTTCCGCCCATGTCCGGCATTGCGTGCTAGCCGGACAGGGCCGTGTTAGTTCGATGCTTAGATGTTTCCAGGCTTTGATACGTGTTTGCACCGCTTCTTTGACAATTTCTTGCTGGTCCTGCAGGGATTGGTATCTGTTCGGACTCGAGCGCGACCTGCCTCAGCTCATTCATAAGGTAAACGATGCTCTTCCCCTCCTCTGTTTTCCAATTGCTTGGACAAATCAGCAATCTCGCCTGTGTATCTTGTGGATGCTAGGCTGGAGCGAACTCCCTCCCTGGCGCAACTGCTGTTAAGGTTTGCCGGCGGCAGAACAAGGCTCGCAATGGCCAAGGTATTTCATGCCATATGCTAGGCCTTCTTGAAATATTGTCTATCCTTTAGGCTCGGTAGGCTAAGCATATTCCGTTGTACCAATCTGTTATAATCTATGAGTGTTGTACAAGCCGTCTTGGCTATATTAACATCTAACAAGATCTCTAGGCGGTATCTCGTTCCACTCAATCTCACATGTTAATCAAAGCCAAATTCCTAACGCCCCGCAGACGCAACCTGGGAGAGGATGTAGCGGGAGAGAGAAGATTGCAGGTAGTTGAGGACCTGTTGATCTTTAGCCATGCACACCTCAAAGTTAGGATTGGGCGTGGGTGGAGTAGCCTTCTTATCGTCACCTTTCGGTGGAGGAAGGAACGACGGTGGGGGCTGCGCCATCGGGCTGATGTAGTCTGTGAGTTGGGCACCCCGCAGCGCCGAGAGCACCTGGGCGCGCCACATCTAGTGGTTGTTCTTGTAGAGTTTCTCGCTCACGGCAATGAAGTTTAGCGAGGGTGCCGTGGAGGATGATGGGAGTGTCATGGATCAGTTCCGTTAGGAATATGGCTCTGATTACCATGCGAGATTTAGTGGAACAAGATACCTCCTAGAGGTCTCCTTACATGTTAATATTGCCAAGACGGCTTGTACAACACTCAAAGATTACAACAGATTGGTACAAGGGAATATGCGTAGCCTACAAGCAAGATATCTACTGAGCCTAACCGACTCAAACTAATCCATCGTCTAACATTATTTACTTGTTAGATCATTATTCCATGTACCTGCAATGTAGCACACACTATTCGCACCACCAATTTTGTGTTCACATTCTTAATTTTATCATTCCTCAAATACCTGCCGTATGAAAACATGTTACTTTTTTTACACTTTCCAGTGTTCCAATCAATCTGCCTTTGGAATTCCTCCTTGCTTGGTAAAATTAATCGCCTCTAGTTCCCCCTATAAAAAAGGTTAGTTGCCTATGGTTAAATTAAATAGTCTTAGCTGTAAAAATAATATCAGCTGGCACTTGGGACATGCCTGAGAAATAACTGAAATTAATTAATTGGCCTCATGTTTTGGGCAATCTTGTTCTCTTCACTTAGGTGAACATTAAAAGGGCCTTATTTTCTATGAAGCATCGGCCAACCATTTTATGCAAAAAGGGTATTAAATTGCATGATTAAAATATATTTTTCTATGTGTGGTGCTCCATGATTGCTGTTTTTCATGAACTTAGCTGTATAACTAAAGGGCTTGTAATAGGAAACTTTAGCGATTTAATCTATTATTTTGCAGCTCTATTGACAGAATAATAGCCATTTTCTTTTGCTGCAATGATAACCCCTATATGTTTGTGGAAAAAATGAAGCTATCAGGTGTTCAATGGCAACTGGAAAAGCACAAGGTGCAATTTCCCTGCTAATAGCGGCGATCAAAACAAGGGTGGATTGGGTGGCAAATTAAATAAGGTCGTTTTAGCTTATAGTGGTAGTCTGGATGCATCTGTCATTGTCCCATGGCTCAAGTATAGATATTCCTTATTTTAATTTGGCTTTACCAAGCTTGAAGTCTATATTGATCTAACTTGTGCATGATGCATTTTTATTTACTAATTATTAAGGGAGAACTATGGTTGTGAAGTCGTCTGCTTCACCGCTGATGTTGTCCAGGTATCTAGAACTTGACCTATTCTCAGTTGTACTGTCCCATTTTAAGCCATGTGATGTGATGTCATCCCAACATATCTCTCTTTCTTTCCCTTTCTTTCTTAGTACTCCCTCCATTCCAAAATGTAGGACTGTTTTAGTTTTGTACAAGTCAAAACTTCTTTAACTTCAATCAAGTTTATTTGAAAATATATTAACATCTACAATACTAAATAAATGCACAATCAATACATTTCATGGTAGATTTCATGAAACAAATTTGATGTAGTAGAAGTTAGTGCATTTGTCTAAAACTTTGTCAAAATCTGAAAGGTTGACTTAGGGCAAAACTAAAATGACCTTCGTTTCGGAGCTAAGGGGTAGTTGTTTTCTTGCATGTTTTTTCTGCTGGTTGCATTTCTGTCAGGCCTTTCAAACAAACAATGATTTACTCACCTCTTGTCTTTGCATTGTTGTAACTTTCTAATATTGTAACTCTTATAATCTAGTCTTCTATTGATATATTTTGTTTGGTTGTCGATATGTAAATAGTTAGCATTATAGTTTGGGTTTTCTAATTCTAGCTAACAATTTGTTTAATACATATGCTGAACTCATGTTAGGGTGCCATTGAATTGGAAGGATTGGATAAGAAGGCAAAAGCTAGTGGTGCATGCCAGCTTGTTGTGAAGGACCTGAAAGAAGAATTTGTTAGTGAATATATATACCCCTATCTGCGCGCTGGTGCAGTCTATGAAAGAAAGTATCTGCTTGGTACTTCAATGGCTAGGCCTGTTATTGCTAAGGTAAAGTTGCTATCATAATAAAAAAATTTACATAGTCGCATAAAAATCGCATTTTTTACATATAATATAATCACCAAGAATGTGCATCGTTTCTTGAAAGTAGATATTGCTCATTTTCTTGAGATCTAATTGACATTATGGATTACAGTGTATTGTTTAAAAGTGTGCCAATGCACATGTTGGAAGAAATATTATTTGTATTATGATTACTACGACATTGAAATCACTGATGTAACTTGATGTGACTTTTAGTAGCCATTCACTCTTCTGTAGAATTTCATGTCTTTTTCAGTACAGCATGATATGCTTATATGCATAGACTTGTCAATTTTTCTTTAATACCTTTTTATTTCTTATTATTTGCTCCTTAAAACTTTCGGCTACAAGGCTACAAGCTTATGGATTACTATTTTTGCTTTTGTCGATTGATCCGCTAGTCTGCAGAGAAGGTGGCTCTTATTTGTCATTGGAATGATCTGTTCAGTTAATCTATTGTTAATCATGTGGACATAATGCAGTAGAGCTAGTAGCAGAACAAGAATTATCCCGCGGGCAGGGCACATCAACACTTGTAACACATAAAACATAGGGACTCAAACGGGAAAAAAAAGATAAACGAGCAAACATTATTTGAGCTCTCGATCGCACATATGGTGTGTTGTGCGATAATAATAATCAACAATGCAGTAAAGTTGTGTTTAATTGGCATCGCCCACTAGTTTGCCATCTGTTGGGATCACTCAAGGAGCCAGGGCTGGAGTTTTGGTAGCCGTTGCCCAGGTTCCACCGTGGGATATGGCTATTCAAGCCACTCAACTGTATTACATGTGCGCTTGGTTTATTTCTTCCGTGAATTTTTTCTTTATATCAGTGTTATGCTCTATTTATCTGGTTATTTTGATCTGTAAGGTTTTTGGCAGCTAATCTTAAATATTTAATTCTTGTTTCTACTCTGCCTTTAGACCTAGACTAAGCCTGTTGATTCTTGCGAATGATTTCATCCTCACCACCACGGTGGCTGTGACTGGCTTCACTAGTTGAATTTGTCCCTTTATCAGCGGATGGATCCTCAATCCCTGCTGGGAATTGGAATCCCTAGTTCTGGCCTACCTTTTCATTTCAACCAGCTATTGGTTTTTGTGCTGTGGGATTTTTCTTTTTTTTTTAATTCTTTCGCTTGTTTTCCTTGGAGCATCAGTGATGTTACATCCACATTAACTCATCCTTGCACTTTGAGCTGCGGTGGTGAAGAAACCGTTAGGGGAAGTTGTCTGAGATGCTCTCATGCTTTTCTCTTCATTTGTTTTTGTTCTTCTGTTTGTGTTTGTGGATTTCTAAATTCTTTTACTTGTAAGGATCGATGATGCAATTATTATCTGCATTATCTTTTCTGCAACCTTTAAGGTGCTGAAGAATACATTACCTGCTGAGATCCATGGCAAATTCACTAATAATTTGTTGCATCAGTTTCAACACAAAGGGGAAAGGGCTTATGGGAGCTCGTATTGAAACAGAACAGACACACACAATGTCATAATTTTTTTTTTTGTTTGAAAAATGAGGGTTGCGCCTTTGTTTTCTTTTCACAAAACTGCTGGAACATAATTGACGGTTGCATCAATCAGCACAAATCAAATGAAGACGGGTTCATACATACAGTGCATATTTGTGGAACTATTTTTACCTGCATGGTTTTAGCTCAGACTTTCTTCTATGTGGGACAACTTGGAGAAGCCTTCCATACGTGTTTCAGTGTTATTTTATTTGGTAGCAGCTTTCGCCCAAAGCAATTTGTAACATCTCTATATAGGAATCCTGCTTACAAAAGAGGGCTAACGGATAGAGCCACGTCGCCCGTTAATGCTCTGGCCGTCTGATCTGGCGAAGAAGCAATACTGTCCGTCCGATTGCGGATCGGTTCGGGCGTCGCCCGCTTCGTCCATCCGGTAACTCGCGAAGATTCTCGGCCCGTCGTGCTCTGGCCTCCGAGAATGGAAGAGGGGGCGGCAACGCAGGCGAGGCGACGCGGATACGACCCATCGGCAAGGCGACGGGGCGCGGGGCGGCCGCCGGCCCCCAATGCCTGCGCACGCAACGCCGGGCAGAGTGCCGGATATCGGTCGGCGAAGAGACGGGCTCAGGCCATCAGATCGATGCCGGACGCCGGGCAGGGTGCTCGGTCCTCCTCTGCCACGGTTGCTCCTCCGTGAGTCCCGCTCCACCCCCCTCCCTCCTCTTCCTGATCCCTTCCCTCCTTGCTCTGCTCTTACAGCTCGTTGCCATTCCGGGCAGATGGAGTTCTGGATCAGCGTGCTGCTCACCAGCCTCGGCTACCTCCGCGGTGTCCTCTACACCGCGACGACGACGACTATGTCTACGTCGCCTGACCAATGGACGGATGCCCGTGGTGCTCTGGTCCGTGCCTCTGCTACCTCCGTCCGCTGTACCGTGTGCATCTCTGTGTTGGGTTAGTGGAATCCGTCCTGTGTCCATCTGTAAACTGTAAATTTGTGTACCCAATCTGACAATCTGGACTAATTCGTTCGATAAAAATCTGGTGTTGTGGGATATGTGCAGTTAATTGGGGTTACTTTGCTACCACGTTCAGTTTTGCTTGTGGATGAAACTGCAGATGGTTATTAATCCCCTGCATTTTCCCTCATTGCCAGTTGAAATCAATTCGAGACAGCTTATTGCTTTGTATGTCAATCCATCCTGGCGGTGACTCGCTTGTAGTGAGCAATCAAGTATCATGCCACTAGAATTGAAAATAGCTACCTCGTACCAACACAAAACAGCCATGAGCTAAAAAGCAATCAATAAAGTAATTCAGATTCGAATAGAGCGTCAGAGCCTCTGTTAGCCATATTAGCTAGTGGTGTCAATTTGGAGCTGTTCTTACAAGCTCATTGGTCGGTGGTAAATATTGTCTAGTAATGTCTAGGAAGTAAGTTCTAACTCTAAAAAAGAGCAACAAGCTTTATTTGTTTTCTTTGCCGTGTTTTAGGAGCATCAGATGGTCAGGGGTTCCTCCATCGGGGGGCGATTCTGTACTGGAAAATACACAACGTGAGAAGATGAATCCACGACAAAGTATTGTTGGGAAATGGAAGGTCTACCCTCAATCTCTTTACATGATATATTCTCAATTGGTGACTTGGTGCTCAGTATTGCTGCCACGATACACTTCTGCTAAATATGAAAGTAAATTCACCCAATTGTATAAGAATCCTTTTGTATCCTGCACTTGCTTTTGCTTCGCCTGTGTAGTATAAATTTTAAAATTTTCCTATCTGCTTCAACTCACAGCCTGAAACTCAGTAATGTCTTAGAGCTGACACACATCCATCCATAATACCTGGATTGAATTTATTTTTCTTCAAGAGTATATATGAGATGTTTAATGTCATGTCTTGTGAACTTCATGGGATCCATAAATTAACTGGAGCTCTTGCCTAAATTTTACATGATTCAATAATGTGATGATCTCTTGCCTCTCTGTTTCTGAGTCCTTGAGGACGATTGTTAGTGGCCTAAATTTCTTGACGCACAAATCATATTTACCTTCTCTTCTTCATCTATAATATTGAACAAGACCTCATCACTGGTTGACCAAAGGGTAGGTAAAGAACACACAAGGAACAAATTGTTGTTGTTTGCCATCTCCTTTGTGGGAACTGAACAGCAGAAGCACCCAACTTTTCCCACAAATCTTCACAGGAGCACTTCGACGGATAGGCTCGATGCTTCGGCCCACATTATGATCGCTTCAGATCTTGACCAGACCATGGTGCCTAAACCTTTTTGCTTATGATCTATACAAATTCAAGAGCTAACTCATACTGTGTTCGATATGGTCGATCGAAAGATATACCCCCAAGGAAGAACGTCTCAACAATTTCATTAGATGAAAATCGGCAATTATTTGTCTCCAAAAGGACCAAAGATATTCATACATGGTCCACCTTATAATACTATTTTCTCTATAATCTTTTGAGGACCTTCCTTTTTGCGACACTGGAAAGAGATGTTTGTTTGTTTTGTGGGAGTGATAGCATTTATTTTAGCAAAGGCAAGAAATGGATAAAACAACAAAAAAATACCCAGAAGTTCTAGGATGACATGTATCTGAAAGAAGTTGAGAACGATAATATAATATCTATTTTCAATCTGAGGGAGTATTTTACTAATAAAAATGTACATATACTCATGGTATGCACTGTGGCCTTTCAATATTGAAGTAATGCTTCCCTAACGTAGGGTCATTTAAGTACCAACCTGGAGAAGTGAGAGCCATTGGAATGATAGCTGAAGGATCAGGCATTACCCCAATGTTCCAAGTAATGACGCATGGTCCAAAGTTCTTTATTCTGTAAAGCTTAGATATTTCTTTTAGCTTTTACTACTCTCAGCAGTTCCTTCACTTTTTTGCTTCATACTGCAAGTGGAAGCAGAGCTCGAGCTCAGGCAATGATGGCTTGTGAATCGTGATCAGTAGTCTGCAACTATAATATCGGCAGGTTGTAATGGAGAGTCACTACCATGCTGCTTAATAGTGTTTCGAGATTTTAGCTAAAGTAAAACTGATTTTATACATGCGACTTGGTCATAGGCATATATACAATACAATATATAAGAATACCATATTCCTATTTGTGCAATTTGGAGTTGAAGCGTAACCTTTTTCGTTGAAGTAGATAGACCATGCCATCATGCTATGCTTGCTATTATTCAATTTATGATGTCACTGACTCGTAACACCTTAGATTCTCAAATAGCACCAACAAGTAGTGATAGGTGACATTGAGCCACATTGTATTGTATTAGACATCATTAAAACCAGATTCACAATAACGGCAGCACTCCATGTAAGCTGCGTGGCAACGCCGCGCGTTGCTTTCTAGTGTAATTGATTCATTATCATATCTCCACTGTAGCCAATGGTTGATGTTGCCAAGGAAGTTGGTGCAGATGCAGTTGCTCATGGATGCACAGGGAAAGGCAATGATCAAGTAACAGTACTGTTAGCTTGAATGTTAATATGTGAGTTCATCTTGTAATGTTACCCTTTTTCTGCAGGTTCGCTTTGAGCTTACATTTTATGCTTTGAATCCTGAACTTAAAGTGGTGGCACCTTGGAGGGAGTGGGACATCACAGGACGTGAGGACGATATTGAGTAGGCAAAGAAACATAATGTGCCAGTTTCAGTTTCAAAGAAATCAATATACAGCAGAGATCGAAACTTGTGGCACCTTAGTCATGAGGTACATTTTGTTGTTTATTGCTTCTAGTTTTCTCCAAATTTTTTTTTGTGATTTCTCTTTTTTTACATGTATATATGTAAACCACAATTTTACACGATGGTTACATTCCAAACTTCTAATCTAATATGCATGTTGTCATATTAATATTAATATCAATATTATCCATTAGTGTTCTGCATCTTTGCCTCGTTGATGCCTTTAACTGAAAACCACATCATTTATCTTTGATGCGAGATGAAGTGAATTGTTCTCTGTTCATTGCAGGTAAAAGCTATGCGTTTGGTAGATTGGACCGGTGCTTGAAGGAGAGCTTGTTGGAGGAGCACGTGGGTGAACCGATCTCATTGGAGGAGAGGTCCAGCGAGAGGATCTCAGAGAGGAATTGCTTGAGCGGGGAGGTGAGAGGAGGCCCATGGACGGGGGAGTCGGGGAGGCCCTCTGGCCGGGAGCAGCCCATGGGAGAGGAGTGGGGGGAAGCACTTCCTCTGGAGCTGTCTAGAAGCAAATCGTTTGGCTGCTCGTTCAAAATAGGGCCTATAGAGAGCCTTGCAGAGGATGGATATACAACCAGTTCGTTTGGCTGTGGCTTGTCGTAAACGATCGTAAATTTCCAGCCGAAACAGTATTTTTCTCTCACACAAACCAGCCAGTAGTACTTCTTCACGAACCAGCAACGATACGAACCAGCCAACTGAACAGGCTGATAATTATTATTGCACTTCTTCGGAATTGGAGACCAGAACCCATCCAAGTAGGGTTTACCTGGAATCTGATATGATTAGTATACTTAGGGATGTTTTCCTATGATGAATCTTGGAATATTTAACAATGTGAGACTGTAAGATGTTGAGATAGCATTTTGAGGTCATGGTATGAAAATGGAAAAAAAAAGTTAAGCATTTTATGTAAGATCCAAGTAAGTTATATGGTGGGTCTACACTATATTGCCTGCCTTAGTAGTTCAGGAACCTAGGCACTAGCTATCATGAGGTTATGAAAGATAGGGGTTAGTGGAGGTAACATAAGGGCAGTATAGTTTTTAAGTGGTCATGTGAGACTGTTTTTTTAGATGAAGTAAGCTTTATTTGAAATGTCATGTCAGACTGTAACATACACGTTGGCGTAATACAAATTCTTGCTAAGAAAATATACATTCCCGTTACACTATTAACTGGTTTTGCTAATTTTCATCTTCCTGGAGAAACTTTCTTGATTAACAGTCTCACGTATGTATCACGCCTGTAGTAGACTAACACTGAGCTTAATCCGTTCAGGTATCTGGAGATTGGCATCATCGCAGGCGTTCCTGTTTCCATCAACGGACAATCCCTCTCCCCCGCATCCCTCCTCGCAGGGCTCAACGAAATCGGTGGGAAGCATGGCAGCTCGGTGACCCTGAAGCTGTACAGGGGCTCGGCGAGCGTCGCGTCCCGGAAGAGCCCGTTCAGCCTGTACAGGGAGGACATCTCGTCGTTTGAGAACGGGGAGCAGCCTGTTCGTGTTCATTTGGCTGTGGCTTGTCGTAAACGATCGTAAATTTCTAGTCGAAACAGTATTTTTCTTTCACACAAACTAGACAGCAGTATTTCTTCATGAACCAGCAACGAAACGAACCAGCTAAACGAACATGCTGGAGATCTACAACCAGACTGACGCCGACGGGAGATCTACAACCAGACTGACGCCGACGGGTTCATCAGGCTCTATGCTGGAGGAGGGCATCTGAGTTCTCTTCTGACTTGTCTGTTGTGTTTGGTTCAGAAATAAAATCCGTTGTTGGAAAATTGTTCAAGAGTGCGAAGTTGGTCCCGGTCCGGATGTGGCCGTTAATAAGCACTGTATGTAGCCTGCATCGCCGATCATGGTACAAACCTGCGTGATCTTGCCCCCGATTCTCGTGTTCCCCCTCCATAATGAGCACTGTTTGATCTTCCGTGGCATCGGGTTCGTAAATGCGAGGCACACTTTGCGCTGCTACTTCCATGGCGCTGGTAATTGACGCTGCCTCTGTCTCTGTGGTGCCATTGAACCGCAGCGCTTACCTGCATCCATCCATTCGGGGGTATTATTACCAGCACTATTCTGCCAGGTACTTTTTATCAAATCACTGGATGGCATCAATACGTGGCAGGATCGTATCTCCCATCCGAAAAACATGTCAGGATCCCGAAACATACAAGGTATCCTGAAATACAAAGTAGTATCCATCAATTTTTAAGACCAAATAAAAAGTAAGAGGAACTTGCGTGTCACTAATTAGTTAGTTAGATTGTCAACTTTCTTAATTTTTTTAGTAGCTAGTAGTTTAAAAAAGACATGCATGTTATTAATTTCGGTTACCAATTACATTTGTCTAAAAAAACATGCATAGATGTATGTATGGATGTGTTTAAAAAACAGACATGTATGTTTACGTATGAAGTTAAGATATTTATAATACCTTATAATTTAGGATAAATTTGGAACCTTTGATACTTTGTATTTCAGGACGGTTGGAATATTAGCTATCTTTCAGAAAACACAAAATGAATTTAAGTGACTAGCCAGCTTTTTTATCATCATGAAAATATACAATTTTAGGTTTCGTCCTAGTTCAACTATCATAAATTTAACTAAGTTTACAGAAAGTATTATCAACATGTATTACTCAAGTATGTATGCTGTCATGAATCTAATGACACTTGTATTGATAAAGTAAAAAGACATAGGATTTGAAAGCATCTAGGCCCATAGTTGGGTTTCGGTGATTAATGACAATACGTTATTACTATGACTAACGTGTGTTTTGCAGAGACAATTAAGTTAGGTCATGGTAATGGAGATCGATTGGACAATCACAGTGGTCATGCCCCTACGATGGAAATCGTTTCGGTTTTCAAAGGATGGACGACAAGATTAAGGATGGACTAGTTCTAAGTGTCGTTTGGAGTTGAAGAGACACTTAGAGTAGTTTAGGACTTTGTTTTTTCTTTGGCCGTACTATTAAGAGGGTATGGACGGATAGCTTGATCTAGGTGAGTCTAGTGAGTTAGCTGTGGTGCACACTTGTTAAAACTAGCACTAGGTAGCTCTAAAATAGCCCTTAGATCCAATGGAGCAAACTTCATTCACATATGATCGAGAGTTGGAAATGAATGGAGGGTCAAATACTGACTGGACGCTGGCTCCGGTGTGACCGGACGCTGGCGCAGAGTCCGGTTAGTTCATTTGACCAAGGTGAAATCATCTGGTGCGACCGGACGCTGAGAGGTGAAGTGACCGAACGCTGGGATCCAGCGTCCGGTCAACTCCAGTAAGGTTCCAGAGAGGGAAAATCACGACCGGACGCGTCTGATCAGTGCTGACCGGATGCTGGCCAGCGTTCGGTCACACTGTAAACACTAGAGTTCGGGGTGTACTGACCAGAGCGTCCGGTCACCCCGCAGAGGCACATAACGGTTCGTTTTTCAGCCCATGTTATAAATACCACCTCCATTCGTGTGTGGGGGTACTTTTGCTCATTCCAACAGCTGAGAAACATGTTTGAGAGTGCCAAGAAGAGCAAGGTCCTAGTGAGGTGATTGAGATTTGAGAATCCCAAAGAGAGCCCTCATTAGTGAGATCAGGAGTAGCAAAGTGTACATCCACCCTTCTCATAGGCTTGTCGTGGTCAAGTGAGAGTTCGTGCTTGTTACTCTTGGTGATCGCCATCACCTAGACGGCTTGGTGGTGATTGGGAGCTTGGTGATCATCCGGAGAGCTTGTGGATGACCCAACTCAAGTTATGAGCGGTTGTGGGTGATTCACCGCGACGGAGTATCGAAGAATCAACCCGTAGAGAGCACTTGATCCTTGCGCAGATTAATGGTGAGCTACACCCTTGCGCGGGTGCTCCAACGAGGACTAGTGGGGAGTGACGACTCTCCGATACCTCGGCAAAACATCGCCGCGTTCCTCCTCCTCTCTTTACTTTGAACATTTACTTTGAGCAATTCAATTCTTGTCATTTACATTTCTAAAATTGCCATGCTAAAGTAGGATTGGAACATAGGTTGCAAGTCTTTTGTGCGGTAGAACAATTAGAAACACTTTCTAGGCACAAGGGGTTAATTGGGCTAACCGTAGGATTTAATTATTGCAAAGAAATTTAGAATTAACCCAATTCACCTCTCTCTTGGGCATCTTGATCCTTTCAATTGGTATCAGAGCCTCGTGCTCACGTATTTAGGCTTAACCGCCTAGTGAAAGATGTCTCACGAGGATGGACCTTCTATCTTCGAGGGGAATGATTTTTCATATTGGAAAATCCACATGGAGGCATATCTAGAAGCTTTAGATGTTGGAATACTTAGAGCCGCCTCACAAGGTTTTTCAAAACCTCGAGATGTCGCACACTCACAAGGCGATGAGTTGAATTACGAAAAATGAAATGCAAAGGCTAGAAACACCATATTTAGAGGCCTTTGTAAAGATGTGTTCAACCGGGTGAGAAACCACAAAGACGCCCATGCACTATGGTCGGACGTTTGTGCGCTCCATGAGGGTACAAAGAGTGAGCGTAAGGAATGCTATCATCTTGTCATGAAAAAGCTTAACTCTTTTGAAATGCTTCCTAAAGAATGTGCTAATGAAATATATTCATGTTTGAATGTTCTTGTAGAGGAAGTCAATAGGCTTGGACTCACTCAAATGCAACCATCCGATGTTGTAAGAAAGATCCTGAGTGTCCTCCCCATTGATAAATATGGGCATATTGTGACCGTGCTACATCAAAGTGATCTTTCCACCGCTACACCGACACAAATCTTGGAAAAGATCAATGCTCATGAGATGTATATGCACATCACACCTCAAGATGGCTCATCCTCTACAAAGAAGAAAGAAAAAGATTTAGCATTCAAAGCTAGCCAAGAAAAGGGCAAAGCAAGGCTTGAGTATGAGAGCTCAAGTGATGATGAATTTGATGATGCAAGCCTTGCTCTCATGGTGAAGAAAACCGTCAAGATGCTAAATAAGCTCAACAAGAGTGGCATCAAGTTCGATGGTAAGAAGAATAAGTTCTTCATAAGCTCTAGAAGGAAGCCAATCTCCGAGATGGATTGCTACAATTGTGGAGAACTTGGTCATCTAGCTCACCAATGCACAAAGCCCAAGAAAGACAAGTTCAAGAACAAGAACAAGAGCAAGAAAGATGACTCAAGTGATGAAGATGAGAAGAAGAAAGACAAGCCATAAAAGAAGAGAGATGGCAAGAAAAAGGACTTCCACAAGAAAAAGAAGAGTAAAAAGGCATACATCGTCGGTGATTGGCTCACGGACATTGATTCATCTAGTGGATCATCCGATGATGATAGTGACAACGAGAAGGTGGCCGCTATTGTTATTGACTCTTCATCATCTTCAACGCCACCACCGCCATCATCCTCTACACACCTATGCCTTATGGCCAAGGATGAACGCAAGGTAACAAATGATGATGATAGTAGTGGTGATGAACATGCTAGTAATGATGATAGCGATAGTGATGATGATGAATATGAATCACCTTCTTATGATGATCTTGCTAGATTGCTCAAACAATACACTAAGATTATTATAAAGACTAGAGCTAAGAATCAAAAGCTAGAGGCTAAAAATGATTCCCTTTTAGCTAAATGTGATATAGCCGAAAAGGCTAGTGTTGAGCTTAGAGAAGCAAATGAAGCTATGTCATCCAAACTCAAGGAGCTCAAATCTTCTAAGAAAGAGATTAAAGATAAACATGATAAACTTAAGAGGATGCATAAGGAGCTCATCACTAGCCATAATATACTAAAAGATGAATATACTACTCTCAAGATTAATCATGATAATCTTGTTATTGCTCAAGAATATTTATCCAATGAGCCACATGATGCTACTAACAATGTTGTTAATATTGATATAACCACATCATGTGATGATTTGATCATTGAAAGCATTGAGCAAAGTTCTAGTAGCAAGGACAAGCAAGTGGTTGAGGCCAATGATTATGATGAGTTTGTCAAGCTTAAGAATGACAATGCAAAGCTCAAGAAAGATCTTGAAGAGATCAAAAGCCACAACACTATTGTACTAGAAACTCTTGATCATGATGGTGAGTTGATGCTTGAGAATGAGAAGCTCAAAGAAGAAAACAAGAAGCTCAAGAAAGAGAAAAACAATGATGCTCTTAAGGAAGAGAACAAGAAGCTTAAGTTGGAGAAAGAGTATATCAAGATCGGATTGAGCAAGTTCACTAGACGCAAGTATCTTTAAAGTGAGCTACTAATGAACACCGTCATGAAGATAGATAGAAGTGGCATTGGGTACATGACAAACAAAGAGAAGAAGGCTCGAGCTCAATAACAACAAAATCCAAAGCCAAACAAGTGTTTTGAGTGTGGACAAGAAGGCCACTTTACTCATGAGTGCCAAACTCTACCACCACATCCCTTGCCAAGCATGCTAGACCTTTTGCCTTCAATGCTCACTACATGCT